TTGGTCACTGGGCAGAATGGGGAGACCTGCGTGCCCCAGGCAAGGAAGCACAGGCTTCCTGGTTCAGGGTGGGGAGGCTGCAGGATCCTCCACAGGGTCTTCCACAGCAGGACACTGCTGGAGTCCTTCCAGGAGTGACACTAACATGAGATCCCTAATGTGGGATCCAGAGGCGCTCAGAGCTGGGAGGGAAGGAGAACACCTAAACCGTGAGACAGGCACAAGTCCTGTGTCCATCAGCCACTCTCAGCTCCCTGTAACCAGGGCTAAAGCAAAGGGAAAGTAGAGCTCCAGGCTGGGGCAGGGCTCAGAGCTGCCTGGTCCCCAGGAAGGAGAGGAGCAGTGGGCAGCACCTACCAGGCTCTGTGGGCTTGAGCACAAAGTGTCTGTCCGGATCCAGGCGCAGGAGCTGGCAGAACTGCTCCACATCTTCAGGGCAGTTCTGGGGCTGCACCATCACCACGTCCCCAGCACTGTACCTAAGGGTGCAGCGGAATCAGCTGAGTGCAGCCATGGGGCAGGCCACGGACACAGCACCATCATCCAGCACCCACACCGGGGCAGAGGCCACAGCTCAGCCAAACCCTCAGCATCACCAATGTTGTGCTCTCTAACCAGACAAGGCAAAGAGCTGGTCCCTGGGCAGGACACTGCCATACACCCCTGACTGCCATGTAGGGGGACAGTGCAGCCAGGACCACAGCCACAGTGCTGCAGCTTCAGATCTTAGGGAAAAGGGGAGTGGACGAGGAAAGCAACGGGGCACCCCATCCCACCCAGCAAAGCTGGGGAGTCAGGAAAATGCTTACGTGATCCCTGAGCCCGTGACGTCAAACTCAATGAGCCGGACATCCTGGAAGTGGGATTGTGCCGTGAGCCGCTGGTTGGACACCACCGGAGCAGCGAAGGGACAGAACTCGGAGGGAGCAGCTCTGGGTGCTGTGGGCTGGAGCAGGACCCCACTGGGCTGTGGGGAGTCCTCAGCCACGTAGTGTAGGGTGTACTTTGGGGGCAGGCTGTGGAGAGGAAAGCAATGCAGTGTGGTTACCTCCATGCCACAGCGCCTCTGCTGCTGTAGTGCTAGAGGCTGGAGGTAGGGAGAGGCCTGAACTCTGCCCACCATACCCACCACCCATCATCCCTGTCTCCTGGAGCTGGCTTGGGGCAAGGGAACACAATGCAGACTGCCAGGAGAAGGAGACCCCAAAGGCTTCAGAGCAGGCAGAGAGGGAGGTGGGGCATACACACTCAGCAGGGCGGCCTAGGCAGAGGCATATCAGGACAGCCAAATGGACAGAACCCTGCTGGGACAGCACACCCAGGGGACAGGGGGACACCCCATCCAGTGAGAGATGGGCCACCCATGACCAAAGTCCAAGGGATACTTGGGACCCCAAAAGCTGCCTGGGGAGGCTTCCTGGTCAGAGCTTATCTCCACCCAAGGAAAGAGCCAAGGAAGCAGAGCATCTCACCCCAGGCAGCTTCAGCAGCCCCTGCCTTCCCCTGTACTCACCGTACATCGGGGCTGATGATCTCAAGGCCAGGAGGGAGAGGATACAACACGAGGATCTTGTCCCATAAGGCCACAAGCCATGGATCAATCACTGCATCTGGCCTGCAGGTGGGAAAGTCAGGCTGCAGCAGTGCAGCAGCATCCCTTCAGGCTCAAGTGCTGCTACACCTGCACCCAGACACCACTGAGCCACCCCTGGGCAACCACCTCTGCTCTGCTTCCAGCACACAGTCACTCCATGCCGTTCCCTCCCAGCTTCAGGTCTGGAAACATCTCAGCCACTCTGAGCAATCACTCACTTTCTGCGGACCAACCACTGATGCCTGAAGAGAACCACCAACCCCCTGCACACAGGTGGTGGCAGTCACCAACTCCTGGGGCACACCCAGCCTCTGCCCCATGCAAGGAGAGCAGCAGCACAGCTCAGGCTGCTGCAATGCAGCAAGTACAGCTGTGTAAACACCCCCCCCACACACACACACACACACCCCACCCCCTCCCCCGACCTGAACAGGACTGGGGCAGAGCCAGGAAATGTTTGCACATGCTGGGGGACATGGACACCCTGGGGAAGGAAGTGACCCAGGTCCTGGCACAGGAGAGCAGAGAGCAGCATGTTCACAGAGAGCAGCAGGAGGCTGCTGCCATGTCTGGGGCACAGAAGCAGACCCATGGTGGGAGCAGCATGATGCTGTCCCCAGGGATGGGGTGAAGCATACACAGTTCTGCCAATGAGAAACCAAGGTGCACCCCAGGACTCCCTCCCCTGCACCCCTACACTGGGCTCTTACCCCAAGTCATGCTGGTCATCTCCCAAGGCCACTGGCAGCAGAGGGCTGCCACCAAGCTGCAGCACCCGCTTGTGGAGCTTCTTTGCAATGAAGTTAAACCTGAGGAGAGAATAAGCCCAGCTGCAGAGATCCAGCAAGCAGGACCTGACCCCAGCCCTGCCCAGCTTGGGCCTCCATCCTGGGGCAGATCAGGGAGCCATAGAATCTCAGACTGGTTTGACTTGAAGGGACCTTAAAGCTCATCCAGTCTCAACCACCTGCCACGGGCAGGGACACCTTCCACTAGAGCAGCTTGCTCCAAGCCCCTGTGTCCAACCTGGCCTTGAACACTGCCAGGGATGGGGCAGCCACAGCTTCTCTGGGCACCCTGTGCCAGCGCCTCAGCACCCTCACAGGGAAGAGCTTCTGCCTAAGAGCTCAGCTCAGTCTCCCCTCTGGCAGGCTAAAGCTGGATGCTGGCTGCCACTTGCCGGGCCACTCAGGCGGTTCCCAGCTCCCAGGAGGGACTCAGGGAGGTGCAGCTTCCCTTCAGGACAGCTGTGTCCCAGACAAACACCTCCTTCCCTCTCGCCCCTCACTGCCCATGGAGCTCTGGCACACTCCCATCTGTCCCACTACAGCTCTTTTGGGCACATGGGAACAATCTCTTGGGAGAGAACCGGGACCAATGGCAATGGGTCTGGCTGCCACCTAAAACTCTTGTGTTTCATATCTCCCCTTGGCTTGTTCCACCCAAATTCCTGTGACACAGGCTGTCCTGCAGTGCAGACACAGAACAGAATCGCTGTACTGAATGACTGAAAAATGATGCGTGCCACACTGCAGCAAAGCATTGCTTGAAGAGCTCAGGAGGAAAGAAACAGGCAGGAGCCCAATTCCTGGGAATCGGGAGGCTCATGGGCTCATTTTGAAGGGAATTTCAGTCTGTGTGAGCTGCTGCTCTAGAACCAGGCTCCGTCTCCCCCCTCACCCCCTTCGCTCTGCAGTGACCTTGGTCCCGCTGCAGCCAGAGCTGAGGAGCGGACCCGGAGCCTCGGCGCCGCTTACTTGGGGTAAGAGGAGTCGCCGAGGCCCAGCACGGCGTAGTCCAGCCGGCAGAGGGCACCAGAGGGCAGGTTCTTCCGGAACAGGAACCGCCAGAACAGCTGCAGGGACACGGGGCGGTCACGGGGCTGCCGGGAGCCTCCCCCTGCCTCCTGCCGCAGAGCAGCGCGGGGAGCGGGGCTTCCTGCACAGGTGAGCCCCGAGAGCAGGCACCGCGCTGTGAGCTCTGCACAGCTGCAGCTCCTGCCCTGGTGCAGCCCCTCCAGCTGCTGAAACCTCCCCAGCTCCCTGCCCGCGTCCCATCAGTGACACCAGATGTGGCGGTGCTGCTCCAAAGCTCCCCCCGCCAACAGTAACCACTGCTCAAGCTGCCTCCAGAGATAAAGCCAATCACTGGGGCAGGAATGTAAAAGCAACATGGAGAGGAGCACCTCCTACCTTCATGTTGTCAGGGGGGTCACCCTGGCCAGTGGTTGCACACACAAATACCACCAAGAGCTCATTGATGAGGTTGGCCTGTGGGCACAACATGGAAAGGCACATTCAGGTCAGCAGCCTACAAATACATGTCACAGAATCAAAGAATAGTTAGGGTTGGAAAGGACCTTGAGATCATCCAGTTCCAACCCCCCATGCCATGGGCAGGGACACCTCACACTAAACCATGGCACCCAAGGCTCTGTCCAACCTGGCCTTGAACACCGCCAGGGATGGAGCATTCACAACTTCCCTGGGCAACCCATTCCAGTGCCTCACCACCCTCACAAGGAAAGAATTTCCTCCTTATATCCAATCTAAACTTCCCCTGTTTTTTAACCCGTTACCCCTTGTCCTGTCACTACAGTCCCTAATGAAGAGTCCCTCCCCAGCATCCCTATAGGCCCCCTTCAGATACTGGACGCTGCTCTGAGGTCTCCCTGCAGCCTTCTCTTCTCCAGCCCAAGCTGCTCACATCACACTGACTTCACGGACAGACCAGGCTCGGAATAAAACCCCCAGCCCGCCATGGCACCACCTCCTCTACAGGCACCGCAGCAGCAGCAGCTCCTCAGTGCTGCTCGCCTTGCAGGGTACAGCTGCGTGCAGTCCAACACAGACACGGGGCAGCGCTCCGTTCCCCCACCCTTTCAAGCCGAGTTAAACACCACAAAGCCAGGGTCTGCGAGGATGCCCGAGTGCCACAAAATGGGGTTTCTAGGAGACGGGAGCACACCCTTGCATCACCACTCACCACATCATAGCTGTCCAGAGCCTCCACCGTGCACTGGAGGTGCCGCCGCTTGGCTTCTCTGCCGATCCTCTCGGCTGTGTCTTGAGCCGTCCCGGTCTGGCTGCCAAAGAGAACAAGGAGCTTCCGTGCTGCCATCTGCAAGGGTGTTACAAAGGAGGGGGCTGACACCCACATTCAGGCTTCTCTGGGACGGAGACGGGGGCCGGGGGGCTCGGGGCCGGGGCAAAGCCCCGGCCCCGAGCCCCCGGCCCCCGCCTCCGTCCCAGGCCTCCAGCGCCGCCATACTCACCACACGCCATCCCCGCGCCGCCGCTCCTGCTTACGCTATCACCCCGCGACAGTGCGGGCGTCACCAGGCAGCGCCGCAGCCGGGGCCCGGCGGCTCCGGTGCCGGTGCCGGTGCCGCGGTGTGAGGCGGGACCATGCTGTTCTCGCTGCGGGAGCTGGTGCAGTGGTTGGGCTTTGCCACCTTCGAGATCTTCCTGCACGGGCTGGCGGTGCTGGCTTTCTCCGTGCTGCTCGTGCTGAAGGTGGACGGCGCGGCCGCGGCGCTCTCCTGGTGGGTGGTGTTCGTGCCGTTCTTCGCCGCTGATGGGCTCAGCACCTACTTCACCACCATCGTGACGGTGCGGCTGTTCCAGGACGGCGAGAAGCGCCTGGCCGTGCTGCGGCTCTTCTGGATCCTCACCATCCTCAGCCTCAAGTTCGTCTTCGAGATGCTGCTGTGCCAGAAGCTGGTGGAGCACACGCGGGAGCTCTGGTACGGGCTCATCATGTCGCCCGTCTTCATCCTGCTCCAACTGCTCATGATCCGAGCCTGCCGGGTGAACTGACGCCGCGGGCACAGGTCTGCCTCCCCGCGGTTCGCGGAGTGTGTCTGTGCACAGGGCAGCAGGGTACACAGGGCTGGCGCTGTGTGCTGGCGCTGTGGGCTGCCACTGAGCTCGCTGCAGGGCCGTACAGTGCCGTGGTTCTTCCAGAGACCCTTCCGTGCCACATCCTCGTTTCAGTTCACTCAGCTCCAGGTGTTGCTGCGCATCCTGCCCTGCACTGTTTGGCAGTCGTTTTATTTTAAAATAAAAACGCATGGAAGGATTAGTTCTATTTTTTTTTTTTCCTTAGAAGGCATTTGTATTTAAAATTCCTGCCTGGAGAAGGGGGATTATCTGGGGGTTGGTTGCTGTGGGTGTCCTCGGACACCCCTGCAGCTGCCTCACCTACACTGCCTGAGGCCACACTGACTTCAGCTTTTGGTTGACAAGAAGCTCCACATGATCCAGCTTCAGTGTGCACTTGAGCCCAGAACCCCCCCTGTGCTGGGCTGCGCCCTCAGAGCATGAGCAGCAGCTCAGAGAGAGGACCCTGCCCCTCTGCTGTGCTCTGGGGAGACCCCCCTGCAGTCCTGATCCAGCTCTGGGGCAGCAGCACAAGAGGGACGTGGAGCTGTTGGAGAGAGTCCAGAGGAGGCCATGGAGATGCTGCGAGGGCTGGAGCAGCTCTGCTCTGGAGCCAGGCTGAGAGAGCTGGGCTGGGGCAGCCTGGAGAAGAGAAGGCTCCTGAAGGGGAGACCTGAGAGCAGCTCCAGTGCCTGAAGGGGCTGCAGGAAACCTGGAGAGGGGCTTGGGACAAGGGATGTAGGGACAGGCCAAGGGGAATGGCTTTAACCTGCCAGAGGGGAGACTGAGATGAGCTCTTAGGCAGAAGCTCTTCCCTGGGAGGGTGCTGAGGTGCTGGCACAGGGTGCCCAGAGAAGCTGTGGCTGCCCCATCCCTGGCAGTGCTCAAGGCCAGGTTGGACACAGGGGCTTGGAGCAAGCTGCTCTAGTGGAAGGTGTCCCTGCCTGTGGCAGGGGTTGGAGCTGGAGGAGCTTTAAGGTCCCTTCCAACACAAACCAGGCTGGGATTCCATGATTCACCAGCACAGCTGATTTGTTTCTGTCTTTTGCTTCCCTGAGCTGTTTCATGCCTTCAGTGCTCTGCAGGGTGTTACATGGCCATGCTCTGAGCCAGAGAGAACTGATGTGTGTATTTTCAAACAAAAAAGTGGGGTTTTTTTCTTTATTTCAGATCCATTCCCTGAGTACTGAGATGGGATGCTGGGGTCGAGGCAGAGGATCAGGAGGGTGCATGCCTGATGTTGATCGTGAAGGGGGGGGGTGTCACTGTGAACCCCAGTGTTGGTGTGAAACACTGTCCCCAGGCCCTGGGAAGTGTCAGTGAGTCAGTGTTCCTCAGGGAGGTGTGGCTCAGTGGGTTCAATACCAACAGCAGGTCAGACCTCTGCGTCACTTGGGCTCAGCTCCCACCACGAGGGTGCTGAGGGTGTGAGATATCAGGGGTTGCTCTGGAGCCAGGCCCAGGGACTGGTCGCCTTCTGACGCAGTTTTACCTTTGGACTCTGTTGATGATGTCTCTGACAAAGCACCTCATGGGAGCCAGGACTTCCCTTCCAGGCTCTGCTGCTCCCTGGCCCATCCCTGTCTCTGCCCCATCCACTCAGCTCCTCTTGATACCACCCTTACTGCTTCGTGCGGAGAGGATCTGGAGCTGCAGAACTGCCCTACAAGCAGCTCTCCAGTTCAGAGCTGTTTAGCAGAGGCCTGAGGAGCACCAGGAACATGTCTGTGGGTCTGATCTCCACGTGAGGTGCTCTGAGGACAATGAACAAGCGGCTGCTTCTTTCCTCTCTAGAAAGTGAATGGGAACTGTGAGGAAGTTTCCTGCTGGTGACAATGATTGTCCCTTTGCACTGCTGCTGGCTCGTCCTGGCTGTCACAGGACAGCAGCAGGACAACCAGCTGCCTGCTCCAGCAGGACCCATGAGCTGACATCCATTTGGGCCACTCTGAGCTTAGCCCCTGGTGATAGAATCACAGGATGATTTGAGTTGGAAGGGACCTTCAAAGCTCATCCAGTTCCAACCCCCTGCAATGAGCAGGGACATCTTCTGCTAGAGCAGGTTGCCCAGAACCACATCCAGCCTGGCCTGGGATGTCTCCAGGAATGGGGCATCCACCACCTCTCTGGGCGACCTGTGCCAGTGTTTCACCACCCTCATTGTAAAGAATTTCTTCCTCACATCCAGCCTGAATCTCCCTTTTAGTTTAAATCCATCACCCCTTGTCCTGTCACAACAGGCCCTGCAGAAAAGTCTCTCCCCATCTTTTATAGGCACATGTTAAGATGTGCACTGTGACCTGCTTCCCACCAGCCTCTGTTCAGGTGGCACCTGGCTCAATCCCTGGCTCCTTGTCCCCAGTGACTCTCAATGCCCATCCTAGGCTGGCGCCGAGGTCCTGTGCTGTAAGTATGGGCCGGGAGCACCCATTCTGCTCCACCGTGGCAGACCCTGAGGTGGTGCCAGGCCTTGAGCACTGGCACCTGCCTCACAGGACCTCCTCTGCTCCTGTTTCAGCTTGTGATGTGGTTTTCCCAGGCTCAGTGTCACCAAGGTGCAGCTGTAATGTTCTGGATGTTCCTCTGGTCTGTCCACTTGGAACCAGCCATCTGCTGACATGGGCCAAGCTACAGCAAAGCAAGGACGCATCACCTGGGAGGAGCACAGCTTCTGCTCCTTGTCCACTTCCACCTCACTCCAGTGTGAGCCCAGCCCCGCTCTCGGTGTCCTGGTGCTGTGGTTGTGCCCACAACGTGCCTGGTAGCTCCCAGTGCACAGGCCATGGATGCTGCAGTCACTGTTGTGGGTCTGGGAAGGGAGGTCTCGGGTAAGGGGCAGTGGGGCTGAGGGCAAGGCTGGGGTGGTGCGGGGGGGGCAACCAGCACCTGCTGATGGGTGTGAAGAACCAGAACCACGGCGGGTGGTTGGTGATGGTGGAGAGGAGAGGAGCAGGAAAAGCAGCAAAGCCTCTGAGTCAGGAGGGGACACTCATGGAGTTGCCCTGGGGACTGCTCCGTGCCTTTGGACTCTCCCACAGCTCCCAAACCACCAGAGAGGGGCAAACCCAGGAAAACACAGATCAAACAGATGAGCACATGCTTCAGCCTCGCTTGGCACGGAGCGGGGCCCAGGACCAGCAGCCCCAACCTCGCAAGCAGAGTGTCACCAGGTGTGGGGTGTGACAAAGGGACAGGGCCACGTCCACCCGCTTGCAAGTGGCTTTTCCAGCATTCTGGAGCTGTCCTGGGGAAGAGCCAGTGGCCAGCGGGTCCCAGCTCTGCTCCTCTGAGGTCAGGTGAGCTCCCAGGGGGTTGGGGACGCAGGGGGACACGTTGCTGAACTGTGGCACTTGGGGGGCTGCCGTGGGGGGCTGCCTGGCCAGGGTGGTGGGGGTTTCTTGGCAGTCGGCACCAGCCATATCCTACCCTGGGACTTGCTCCTCATGCAAAGGAGTCACCTGCTGGGCCCAGGGCATCCAGGTCCTGCAGCAAAACATCTGTGTCCCCAGCCCCTGCAGCCGGTGACCGGGGAGATGTGGCCACACAAAACTCCTGCTGGGAGCATCCTCAGTGAAATCCTGTGGGCACAGCTTGAGGGGATCAACCCTGACCCTGTCCTCTGCCTGGTGCGGGCCACGTGCTCCCCAGTGTTCCCTGGCATGGGGAGGGAGGCTGCTCAAGCCTTGGGCCAACAGACTCTGTTACACAGTGGAATACACCTGGGCCAACAGACTCTGGATTAGGCTCTGGCAAAGGTAAACATCTCACCTCTGGGTCTGTTTTTGTTGCTGCCTTTCCCACACCCAACTGCAGCTCTGTGTGAGGGGAGAGCCCTGGCTCGCTCCCAGCCCAGAGGCTGCCCTGCAGACACGCTGGGGAGAGGCACGGAAGGAAGCCAGGGTGGTGGAATGTCTGCCAGAGGGTTGTGGAGTCGAGAGCAAGGCACCAAGGTCAGAAAGGATCGGTGGGGTTTATCATTTGTGGAAGATGAAGGGAGAACACGTAGGTGTCAGGACTGGGAATTAAATGACATCCTGGGTAGTGGCTGACCTCAGTGACCCCAGAATTTGATCAGCATTAGCTTTGTTGGCTTTTACAGCATCCTTGGGGTGGAGCAGAGATGCGGTGACCACCAGGACTTCATCAGCAGTTGAAAGCACAGGTGCAGTTTGAGTCACCACCCTTGGAAAAATGTGAAGTGTGGAGCAAGTGCTGAAAGCCCAGAGGAAAGCAGCCAGGGTGGTGGGGGAACAAAGAGGAAAGGCCGAAGGAAGGGAGGCTGCAGCAAAGGTGAATTCCCCAGAACAGCTTCTCAGAAGCTTTGCTGAGACTTTAGAGTTAGATGTTAAGAGTGGCACAGCATCCAACAGCCTTCACCTCATGGGGCCTCCACCATGGCCTTCCATCCCAGCACATCCACATGGAGCCCATCGCCACAGTGCTGGGCAGCACATCCCGCTCCCAGCAGGGAGCTGGTGCCTGTTCCCGGTGCCTGCCCCTGCAGGGCTCAGCCAGCTCCACTGTCAGTACTGAAATACTGATACTTCCATTGATATCATTAATCCCAGGATCTCATGAGGATTGCAGCATTGTGCTGAGCCCCACTGAGTGCTGTGGGAGATGGAACCAGCGCCAGCACCTGCTCTGTGGTAGCTGTGCACAGGGAAGGGAACGCACCGGGGCGTCCATGGCCAGAACAGGGGCTGGCTCCAGGCACATGTCCCTGACCCAGATCACCCAGAGCTGAGATGTGGCACCAAGTCCCAGGCAGGGGCAATTAGGGCATGTTTAATAATGGTGCATGCTAAGAAAGGCAGGAGGGAGGAGGAAGGGGCTGGTGTGCTATTTGCCAGCTGGGACAGCAGGTGTGGGGATCCCAAAGGCACCTTTAAATGGCCCCAGTTCCACCAGTCTTGCTGGAATGGAAGGGCAGGATAAAGCTGGTCCCTGCTGGGACCAGTCACAGCAAGACCCGGAGTGGGTCTGGAAGGGGAACAGAGGCCAGGAGTGAGGGATGGAGCTCACCCAGAGACAAGGGACCTGCATAGAGCACGCCCACCCCTCCCACTGCCAGAGCTGGGGTGACCTCGTGGTGCAGAAATTGAATGGTGGGGAAATGAGAGACTCTCTTTTGGTGCTGAGTCAGGGTGTTCCCTCCTCAGGAGGCACAGGGAAGATGGTAGCAATGGAGGTGATCTCATTTCACAAACACCAGCATCTCAGTGACTGGCAGTAATGGCTTGGGCTCAAACCCTGCTGAGTGTCCACACCAGCCTGGCAACTTCCTTCTTGGTCTCAGAGAGTCACTTCAAGGGCCACAGACAAAAGCAGATCAAACAGGTGTGTGTGTGTGTACTCTACCACTTCTCCACAGTGGATTTGTCCACCTGCAGTGAGAAGAATGAGGCTCTGGTACAGGGTGCCCAGAGAAGCTGTGGCTGCCCCATCCTTGGCAGTGTTCAAGGCCAGGTTGGACACAGGGGCTTGGAGCAAGCTGCTCTAGTGGAAGGTGTCCCTGCCTGTGGCAGGGGTTGGAGCTGGAGGAGCTTTAAGGTCCCTTCCAACCCAAACCAGGCTGTGATGCAGGTCCTTTTCAGTTATGAGCAAATAGCACAGGTAGCTCTCACCAGAGCATGTCCTTGAAGGCAAACAGGGCTGGGGCTCCTGAGCACTGAGGACCTGGGAGAGCCACGTCAGAGTGGGTGCTCCTGTGCGCCAGGCACCCAATGGCCCTTCCAGGTCCTGCCATACCCCGTACCTTGTTCACCCCGTCACCCTGAGCTCCAGCCTGTGTTTTACCAGACAGACACCTGTTTGGGTGGGACTAGCTGAAGAACAGTGATGGCCATGCTGTATGTGACCCAGGGCCAGGCTGTTGTCACCTCGCTAGGGCCCAGCCGGGGCAGGGGCTGCACTTGGGGCAGGCACCGGCAAGGGGGGAAACAGCCTCATCCCTGCTGGAATGCCAGGGGGAAGGAGAAGGAGCCGGTGCTCAGCCCCTTCAGCAGGAGGATGGAAATCTAAGGCAATTATCTAATGAGCTCATCAAGGGGTCTCTGTGGAACCCCCCGGGGGAGCAGGCACAGGAGGAGCTGTGTGTGATGCAGCGTGCTAGGGATGCAGCGTGCTAGGGATGCAGCTTTGGGAAGAGGTTCTCAGAGAGCCCTTCCCCTGCTCTCATTGGGCTCATGGGCTCTGCCCCCCCCCAGCATGCCCTGCCTCCTCCCAGCACTGTCCTTCTAAAGCTTTTCCAGGGAGGATTTTGTCCACAAATTAAGCCATTACCTGTGACTTGGCTCAGGAATATCTGATGTAAATGAAGAAGCCCTAAATGTCATTGGATTTTCTTGCTGAACCATTTACCTCTCCGAGCAAAGCTCCTGGCTCCCACCGCTGTGTTTGCCTTTGTCCACAGCCCATTGGGGCCCATAGGACAGCACAGAAATAAGGGCCCTAGAAAATGGGGTGCTGGGAATGGGGGTTCCTGGTCCCCCTTGGCCAGGGCAGCTCGGGGCCTGCAGCCTCCGCTGGGTTTCAGGCAGGAGGAGGAGAGCTACAGCAGGCGGAGGAGCTCCTGGAGCCCAGCCCCAGCGGTGCCAAGTGCCCTGTGCCTGGGCACCCCCCATCCCGCAGCTCTGCCCGAGCCCTGCCAGGCTTTGGGCACCCAGGCAGGCTGTTTGCTCAAGGACAGTGCTGGTGATGCTGGTTCTCCTGCTTCTGCCTCCCCAGAGGAAGGTGGGCGCTCAGGACCCCAGGAGGTGGCAGAAGGGCAGCATGAGACATGTCTGCTGGCCACACTCATGGCTGTGAAGTCTATGGCTGCTGGGCACATCTCATGTGAACAGGAACTGGTGCAGCACAGGCACTGCCTTCACAGCGAGCGAACACCCCGGCTGTGGACGCCCGTGTTCTGCTCAGGGCTGTCTACAGGCACCATCCCCAGCTTGGTACCGACCTCCAGCCCTCAGGGGCTGTGCCCATCTCAGCAGCAGGGCTGAGTCTGGACCTGCCATCCTGTTGAGGAGTGCTCAAGGCCAGGTTGGACACAGGGGCTTGGAGCAAGCTGCTCTAGTGGAAGGTGTCCCTGGCCGTGGCAGGGGTTGGAGCTGGATGAGCTTTAAGGACTCTTCCAACCCAAACCATCCCATCATTCCATTATTCTATGAAGATGCGTGGCTGAGGGCTCTCGGCAGCTCCAGAGCACTGGGGCTGCTCCACAGCATCCTTGGAGTGAACACAGCTCCTCGAGGGACCACATCACTGAGGCAGGGCCACAGACTGTGGGTGGGACCATGCGTGCCTCGGTGGCACCCGTCCCCACCTGCCTGAGCGCATTGTGCTACCCGCAACACTCATGAGGGGCCCATTGCCCTCAGGAGCTGTAGTGGTGGACCAGAACCATTGCAAAGCTTGTGTTGGGTGCCTGGCCCCAGGGGCACCCCAGCCCCTCCTGGGACAAGCCCCAGGCTGGATTCAGACCATTCCATCCTCCCCTTCTTTTGGCAGCCCAGGAGAGCCTGCCCCGCACCGTGGCATGGTGTCAGCTGAGTCCCAGCCAGCTCTGTCCTTCCCTGCCCTTGTGCTCACACGGACCAGGGCTGCTCCTGGCAGGGCTTGCCCCATGCTGGTGGCAGCAGGGTTGCCAAAGGGCTGAGCTTGGCTAAGAGACCCGGACCCCAAGGGACAGGGACAGAAGCAGCAGGTCAGGCAGCCCCGCAGGCCGGGTGCTTGTGGATGGAGTCCTAGCTCCCTCCTGGGAAATCATTACCTGTCCTGCCCAGAGGCAGTTAAGATGTTATCACATAACCTCTGAACTATTTGCTAGGGAAGGATCAGGACAAGTAAACCAGAGAGTTGCTCAGCCTGGGTTTGGAGGCAGGAGCCAGAGGGTTTGGTTGGCTCAGGGTGCACACAGTCACCACGCAGTGCCATGTGTCGTGGGGGGGACTGGGGCTGATGAGTGCCTGTCCTGCATGGGGATGAGTCCCCCTGGCTCAGGACATCTCTGGACCAGCCACTGTGCAGCCAGAGACCTGGGAAGGTAGTGGACTCTCATTCAGCCCCTTCCCTTGAAGCCACGTGAGTCCAAAGGTGAAGTGTTGTGTGGAGGTGGGGATACAGGAGCAGGGGCATCTCTGGGCTCCAGGCATGCACCCCGCCAGCAGGGCACAACACAAGCACCCAGCTTGGTACAGGCTGCAGACTGACGGGACATGGGGCAGCACCCAGGGAGCGCTGCCCCCCGAATTCACAGCGTGGTGCTTCCTGTGCACACAGGGGGCCTCAGAATCCACCATCCCTCCGGGCGCAGGGAAAGGTGCTCCAGGAAGGTCACATGCAGTGGGGGTCACACGTTTCCCATTTGGCTGAGCTGAGATCAGGCAGCTGGGAACTGAATCCTTCCATCGAGATCACCCTTGTGATAGCCCTGCAGGCTCTCATCAGGGAGCTGAACCAGCAGCTTCCCTGGGGCCCCCAGAGAGCAGGTCCCGTGTCCAGCAGCCCTGCCCAGCCCGGCTGAGGTCCTGGGGCTGGGGCTGGGCCGTGATTCCCAACCTGCACCATGAGCCCCCAGCGCATGCCCGGAGCGACGGGAGGCTGTGGGCAGAGCTGGGGGCTGCAGGGACCTGAGCCCTCCCCATCCCTCGGCTCTCCTCAGTGTCCCCGTGTCTGCAGGGATCCCCAGCCAGGAGCAGCCTGGGGCTGAGTCGCACATGGGGAAGGTGAGCAAGGTCCCAGCTGGGCCATGACAGTGTCTTGGCAATGCCCTGGCAAAGCTCAGCGAGAGCTGCTGAGACCCCCGGCAGGGGCATCCTCCTCCTCTGATGGGATTTTCCTTCTAATTGCTTCCTACTTTGTAATAAAACTTAGCAAGGCACCTACCACTGTGTGTGTATTTTCAGGGCACTGGATACCGGAAATATCACTGTTACCTCCCATAGACCTCGTAGAGACCATAATGGAAATAATTACGACTGTGGATAGGAAGAGAACAGAAAGGGGTGCGTGTAAAGGCACAAAGAAGCAGCGAGACAAGGGTTAACAGGAGAGGTGTGTGCTAACTGCTGCAGGGCTCCTGTGTGTGATTTCATTTAAATAAGGAGGAGGAACTAATTGGCAGAAGATGTGTCAAGATGCCAAACCGAGCTGTAAATACACCTGTGAGACAAATGAGAACTCATAGTCAGGAGTCTTGACTGAGGCTGATGAGGTCTGGGACAAAGTAACAGGGAAGAGACTTTCCAGCAGTGTCCGCTTCCCAAGGACACCAAGGCAAGACCAGGGTGGGTTTGCTGCCGGCAGTAGAGGAGCCCAGAGCCACAGCAAGGACTCAAAGCCAGCTCAGAGGGATCCCAGTGTCTGGGGGCTCCTGGAGCAGGGTCTGGCAGTGCTGCAGGTGAGCTGACCCTAGGTGCACCTTTCAGGTAAAATCACCTCTCCTGCTACAGCACCTTGTGCTGAGAGGGTTGGGGTTTCCTGTGGTCCCCTCTGTCTGGGGCACTGCTTCATTCCCTCCTCCTGGCCCTCATCCTTCCAGGTAGCGGTGAGCTGAGCAGGAGCGGGTGCAGGACCTGGGGGACCGTGGCATCCCATCACGGCTGCGCCAGGCTGCTGGGCAGCCAACCCCTCATCTTCCATCCCCCCTGGTTCATCCTAGTTTTGCTTCTCCCAGGGAAAGGTCTGATCATCCACCGGGATCTCCGAGTTGCACAGCTCGATATAGGCTCAGCCTGGGGGCAGCTTTCTGAGCTGCTCTCCTTGCAGCTCCCGCTGACAGCTGGTGTTCTCAGCTGGCCATGTCCAACCACCTCTCTCCTGTGTTTGGGTTTGCAGGAGCCCTCACCACAATGTTCACGAGCAAGAAACACTTCACCAGTGCCATTGTTGGGGCACTGGTCGCGCTCTCCCTTATTGCCCTTGTTCTCAGCCTGGTGAGCATTGAAGATGTCACCCTGCCACCCACTGCCAAGGTGAGCCCAAAAGGTCCCTGAACATCACTGCAGAGACCAGTCCCCTTGGGCAGGTGCTCAGAGACCTTACCTACATTGTCTTTGGTTTGGAGGTGAAGGGTTGGTAGTAGCTGGGTGGGTGTTTTCTTCCCATCTCAAGATGCAAAGTAAATACAGCCTGGACACCTCCAAGTCAGAGGGGGAAGCCTGCTCTGAAACTGGCCACCATGCTATGTGCTGGACATGTTTTGAGGGGATTACCTTGAGACAGATGTGTAGGGCAAAGCCCTGTCCTGCTCCCTCTGCCCTCCCATGGCACAACACCTCCTGATGACACTTGTACCTGCCAGCTCCCACCAGCCTGCCCTGACCCACAGTACAAGCATCCCCTGCAGCTTAGCATCCCTCCCTGGCTGCTGGAAGAGGCTTGGCACAGTTTTAGGGTGAGGTGGAGGGCTTTATGTGGGAGAGGTGTGCAGTTGGGTGCTCCTGGGCTGGGGCTGCTGTGGTGCTGCCTGTCCCTGCCCAGGCTGGGTGCAGCCGTATGGGCAGCAGAGAGCACTGGGGACGGGGGGGTTGCTGGCCCCAAGGTGGGGCTGGTGTAGGCACAAAGGGCTTGTAACCAAGAAAGAAAATAAATAAGGCATGAGGAAACAGCTCAGAAAAGTCAGTGTGAGCTCACGGTGCTGCACAGGCCTCGGGAGAGGGGAATTTCTCCATTGCTGTGAGAAATGCCCATGCCAAGGCCAGGTGCTGTCACAGCTCAGCCCTGCCACGCTGCAGATAGCTGAGCCTCAGAGAGTTGAGTTTGGGGCATCTTCTGGCCTCACCACCCTGGCAGGGTCATGGTGAGGCTGGGGACAGGCTGCTGCTCCTCCCACCAATGTGATGTCTGCGTTTTCCCTTCCAGTATGGGATGGTGTTTGATGCAGGCTCATCCCACACCTCTCTGTTTGTCTACGAGTGGGATTCAGACAAGGAGAACGACACCGGTGTGGTCAGCCAGACCTTGTCCTGTGATGTCCATGGTCAGTATCCCCCTGCCATGGGCTCTGTGCTGCCCTGCGTGTTGGTGTGGTGGGTGGGATGACCTGGCCCTTCCTCTTGCTGACTGGCCCATGCTGGGCAGCTCTGTCCATCGAGCTGGCACTGCTGGCACAGGGGGGAGCCCTGGCTGCAGGCAGAGTGGTCCCTGACTCCCCACTGGCTTCACATGTGGTCAGAGAGCCCTCAGGACCATGCAGTGCCACTTGATGGAACTGATGGACCTTGGTGTTCTGGGTTTCCATTCCCGCACCTTGGACTGCCCAAGCTGCTGTCCTGGCTGGGGAAGGTCTCGCCTCTACAGCTGGAGACACTGCTGAAAGCATGGGAGAGGTGGGGAAGCCACAGGAGGGAAATGGGTCAGTCAGGTCCTGGGGGACCAGGGCACCCTGCAGAAGCAACCCTTTGTTGCTGACAGATCTCAGTGCCCTGTGCCCTCTTTCTCCCGCATCCCTGTCCCCAGCCGTTTCCATCAGCCTGTCCCAGCCTGACTCTCTTCCAGGACAAGGCATATCAAGCTATGCCAATGATCCCCCGAAAGCTGGTGATTCCATAAGGGAGTGTCTGGATAAAGCCCTGAAGGTTGTTCCTGCTGCAAAACAGAGGGAAGTCCCAGCTTATCTTGGAGCAACAGCAGGAATGAGGCTACTGAGGTATCGCTGGTGGAGCTGGGCTGGGTCAGCCTGGAGAAGAGAAAGATCCTGAAGGGGAGACCTGAGAGCAGCTCCAGTGCCTGAAGGGGCTGCAGGAAAGCTGGAGAGGGGCTTGGGACAAGGGATGTAGGGACAGGCCAAGGGGAATGGCTTTAACCTGCCAGAGGGGAGACTGAGATGAGCTCTTAGGCAGAAGCTCTTCCCCGTGAGGGTGCTGAGGCGCTGGCACAGGGTGCCCAGAGAAGCTGTGGCTGCCCCATCCCTGGCAGTGTTCAAGGCCAGGTTGGACACAGGGGCTTGGAGCAAGCTGCTCTAGTGGAAGGTGTCCCTGCCCGTGGCAGGGGTTGGAACTGGGTGAGGTTTAAGGTCCCTTCCAGCCCAAACTATTCTATGGTTCTATGATCTGCCCAGATGGATGGTGCTGGTGGGGAAGTTGGGCAGATGTAGGAGGCAGTAAGATGCTGCAGTACCTCCCATTACCTTTCACCAGCCCATATTAGCTTTCCTCAAATGTCAGCCTTCATTTCACGGTGCTTGGTTTCATGGTTGCAGATATGCTACATTATTTGTGTCCTGGCAATGAGAGCCCTTCCCTGGGAAGGAGCCAGTCATAGCCTGAAGGTTCCTCGCTTCAGAGAGTGAGCACATGCCAGCAGCCCCACACATCTCCCCCACTCAGAGGTCTGAAGCCAGGCCCAGCTCAGCAACCAGCCCTTTGGAGTAGTCAGTGGGGGGATGTTCAAACCTGGGCTTTGCAGCACAAGCTCTTCCCTCCTCCAGCACTATGAAGGTGCTTAGGTAGGGGAAGGTGGCTTCACAGACTAGACCAAGCCGCGCTGGAGGGAAGAGATTGATGTTGCTCCTGGATTAGTGATGCCTCACGTAGACAGCTGGGATGCTCGAGCAGCTTTGACAAGTCAATGTGGCAGGAAACATTTCATATAAGCTGCCCGTTGCAGAAAACTGGAGTATGTGGAACTGGGGAAAAAGACTGGTTCCTGGTGCTTCCTTTGTAGTACTGGTGCAGGTGGGTACGTGTCCTGACCTCTGGGCCCTTTCTAGGGAGCAGAACAGCTCAGCAGCAGAGCAAGTCCTGGCTGAAGTCACTAAAACCATGCAAGAGTACCCAGTGGCTTTCAAAGGGGCTCGAATCCTTACAGGAGAGGAGGAGGGGGCTTATGGCTGGATCACCACCAACTACCTGCTGGGCTCCTTCACTAAGGTGGGAGAAGGCTCAAACCCCACCGCACCTTTGCTGATTTTTGGGTTTTCTGATTTTTAAGCTCGCTTTGCACAAAGGTCAGCGGCTGCTGGGAATGATCACGGGGAAGCAGCCAGTCTGTGGAGGGAGGAATCAGGAATGGGGCTGTCTGCTAAGAGCTAAGGGCACATCTCCACACGGTGTGGACACAGGGTCTCCTGGGACAGTGATGTCGGCACTGCAGCCTGGTTGGGACCGTTGGCTCCTGCTGGGCTCTGTCCCACTGCCCTGGGAAGGGCTCTCTCCATGTGGCACTGCGAGACCTGATCCAAAGCTCTCTCATGCCACTCTCTGCCCATCACTGCTGCAGCCGGGAGCTCCTGTGCAGGCTGCTGGAGGGATTCTCCAAGCCAGGTCCCCACCAGCACTTTGAAATGGGGATGGAGCCATATGAGCCCACAGCTCAGGGGCACATCTTGACCCTCAGAGAGCTGAAAGTCTGCTTTTCCTGGCTCTGACAAATGGCTGGGCAGGGGAGGCCTCCCTTAGGGAAAGAATTGAGTTGAATACCCATTGAATTTAGTAACAAAACCCTATTGGCTTCAATGGGATGAGAATTGTGCTCAGGGCAAGTAAGACCAGCGGTGTGCTTCTCTTCCTCTCCTGTCTCCCTTTGGCAGTACTCACCCAAAGCACACACGTGGGTTCATCCAGAGGCAGCCAACATTTTTGGGGCACTGGATCTTGGAGGAGCATCCACCCAAATCAGCTTTATACCCGAAGGTTCAGTGGTGAACTGGAAGGAAGGCTCCAAGTTCACACTGTACGGGTATGACTACAGCATCTACACACACAGCTACCTCTGCTATGGCCAGAACGAGATGCTGAAGCGACTGGCGAAGGAACTGATTGCGGTGAGAGGGGAACTGGGGGGGAATTGGACTCTGGTCTCATGATGCCAGCAACAGGCTTGTTAATAAAGAACAGGCAAAGCTCTTCCAGAGACGCATCAGCAGGGAGTGAGAGTAGGTACAGACTCCTGTGGGAGCACAGGGAGGCAGACATGGAGGGGAGCATGGGAAGTGTCAGAAGGGGCAGCTCAGGAGAGACCTTCTGGCTGTACACAGCTGCCTCACACAGGGCGTACAAAAGGCAGGAGCAGGCTCTTCTCAGAGGAGAAAACTAAAAGGGCAAGAGGCAGTGGGCACAAGCTGGAACATTTGGGTTTCCAGCCTATGTCCTATGAAGCCAGGCTGAGAGAGCTGGGCTGGCTCAGCCTGGAGAAGAGAAGGCTCCTGAAGGGGAGACCTGAGAGCAGCTCCAGTGCCTAAAGGGGCTGCAGGAAAGCTGGAGAGGGGCTTGGGACAAGGGCCTGTAGGGACAGGCCAAGGGGAATGGCTTTAACCTGCCAGAGGGGAGACTGAGATGAGCTCTTAGGCAGAAGCTCTTCCCCGTGAGGGTGCTGAGGCGCTGGCACAGGGTGCCCAGAGAAGCTGTGGCTGCCCCATCCCTGGCAGTGTTCAAGGCCAGGTTGGACACAGGGGCTTGGAGCAAGCTGCTCTAGTGGAAGGTGTCCCTGCCCATGGCAGGGGTTGGAACTGGGTGAGTTTTAAGGTCCCTTCTAACACAAACCAGGCTGGGATCCTGTGATTCTATGACTCAAATACAGGGGAAATGTTTTTCCCAGTGGGAATGGTGCTGGTGGAGCACTGGGGGGCTCCTGTGCCTGAGCTGCAGTCAGCAGGGGTTGGAGGAGGCTGCAGCCTGCGGTTTTGCCGTTCCCAGGAGTCATCCCCCAGTGCCCGAGTCCATCACCCCTGCTACCCAACAGACTACAATGAAACCGTGTCGCTGTCTTCCTTCCGCACCAGCCCCTGCACGAACCAGAGCGACCCACGCCTGGGCCCTGGCGACAGGAACGTCACCCTGGAGGGCAGGGGCGATGCCAGCGGGTGCCTGGCTGCCGTCAAGAAGCTCTTCAACTTCTCCGCGTGTGGCCAGAGCCAGGACTGCAGCTTCGATGGCATCTACCAGCCGCCGGTCAGAGGGCAGTTCATTGTAAGGCGAATCCTGTCCTCCCACCTCCATGGCAGAGCATGTGCTGTGGTGTCCCTGCGTGCCCCGTGGCATTGCCACCTCCCCACGGCAGAATGGGGGCAAACATCCCCCAAGTTATCCCTGCCCCAGGGCACACCAGGGATTGCTGCTGCCTCATTTTCCAGCCAGGTCTCCGAATGGGACCATGTTAACGAAACCGGTGAGAAGCCACATCCCAGGTTTTCAGTAATAAAGCCCAGCTTAGCCAGCAGCCTTCAGGCAAGGCACTGGATGTGCTGCTGTAGCCAGCAGGCCCCTACACCCTGGCCCATCACCTCTGCTGAGACATGGACAGTGATGCCCTGGGGCTATACCAGGGTAGGACAAACTGCAGCTGCCTGGTGTTGGTCTCCACTGTAGCTCAATGATGTTTCTGCCTCTTGCCTTTCAGGCCTTCTCTGCCTTCTACTATAACTTCAAGTTCCTCAACCTGACCAAGGGGCAGACGCTGGCCGCTGTCAGGGAGACCATTGAACGTTTCTGCACGAGAAGCTGGGAAGACGTATGTTCCTCATGGTGGGAGGCAGTGTGGAAGCTTCACAAGCAAAGGGGCCCTGGGGTGGGGGAAGAGGAGCAGGGATCCTTCCATGGCAAAGGACCCTGGTTGCCGAGCTGTGCCTGACACAGCGCAGCCATCCCTGAGCAATGTGTGAGAGCCAGGGCTGTCCTGCACTCACCTTGGGGACCTTCCTCGTTCATCATTATATGAGCAAGGAACTTTAGTTGGGAAAGGGGCAGCCAAGGCAGGTGAAGTCAGCAGAATCTCCCCTCCAGCACAGGAGCTGGGGATGGAGGTGGGTCCACAGCACTGGAGGATGGTGAGGGGAGACCCAGTTGCTGGCACCACTCTGGAGGCAATTCAAATGAGGATGGATAAGGCTAAGAGCTGTGCTAAGATCACCATGGGGCAGAGAGGAGGAGCCCCTTCACAAGGAGGCTGAGATGGGAGAACGTGGGGCAGGAGGAGCGCTGGAATGTCTCTGTTCCCGTGTAGGGTATAAATCTTCAAAGGAGCTGCCCTATGTGGAACAGGTCCCAAATACCTGCCTGGTCCAGAGTCTTTTTCCAGATGCTGGTGACTGCAGTGCCATTGTCCCTCCCACAGCCCTCGTCAGGGCATTGTCCCTGCACAAAAACTGCCTGCGAGTAACCTTCCCCCTCCAAACATCTCCCCACCCCAGCTCTCCGCCAGCTACCCTGAAGAGAAACCTCAGCGCCTGCCTAAGTACTGCACCAATGCCAACTACATCCTCACCCTCCTCCTCGATGCCTACAAGTTCAATGAGACCAGCTGGAGCAACATCATCTTCCAGATGAAGGTAGGCAGCAAATGCAGCCTGTGGGCAGGAGCAGAGGAGGAAAAGAGCCAGCTTCCCATGCCGGGTGATGCGAGAGCTACGCTCCAGGAAGCCACTCTCTGGGCTGCGGCCGGTGCTGCTGCTGTGGCTTTCCTGCAGGGTAACTCGTGTCCCCTCTCCCTGGGCAGGCGGGGAGCGCCGACGTGGGCTGGACGCTGGGGTACATGCTCAACCTCACCAACATGATCCCGGCCGAGGCCCCGGTGTGGGTGAAGGGGCACGTTCCTTCCTTGTGGGCTGCAGCCATCACCTTCATCATCCTCACCCTTGTCCTGGGACTCACTGCCCTGCTCCTGCTCCTGTGGGTGTAGGAGCCTGGGCACGTTTCCGAGCCCGGTAGGTGTGCATCCACTGATGGTGGAAAGCCATCAGTGCTGGGTCCTCCTTCCTTCTGCCCCCGGAGCTGGCAGCCTGGGGCTGGTTCAGTGATGCTGAGCATTCGACAGCACCGAAGAACTGGGGTAGTGTCCTATGGGACTGGCCACCCCATGCAGATAGGCACTATGCGAGGTTTCCATTGGAGCTCTGCCTACACACCACAGGAACCCCGGCTGTGCCCATCTGCCTCCTTATGTCGCTATGCCTGTTACAGGTGTGGCCTCCATCCCACCAGCTGGCCCGTGGGGCCATGGAGAACCAGCCTGGCCACGGACGAGCTCCCCAAGTGCCAGACTGATAATGCACTGCTGCAAGCACTTGTGACTGGGTGCTTGGTGCAATGCTGGGTCTGGTTATGGTCACCAACAGCCCAGCAGGTGCCTGTGAGGGGCATGAAATGCTCTGCAGTACCACATCTGGCTCTCCTGAGGGTGAATCGCGTGGACTTACCTGATGGTATTGGAGACAGAAGCAAAATTGAGCATCCAAAGTCAGAAACATGGTCTATGCCTCCCCAAGGGTCTGTCTTGTCCCATCACATCTTCCCTTTCTTCTGGGATAAAGGGATCTATGTTTCTGAATGTCTGCCTGGAGAAAAACACTGTCCCACCATCTGGGTAGTGGGACATTCATGTGTCCCATCACCTGCAAACACTGTCCCACCATCAGGCTGGACACCATGGGGTCAGGCTCCTAGTCCTGCCCTGACCCTGCCCACGGGGCTGAGCTGGATCCTGCCCACAACTGCCCCCCTGCCTTTGCCTTGGGGTCTGCTTGTTTTTTGTCTGCCTGCAGGTGATTCAGTGGTTCTGTGCCTCTCAGCAGTGAGGAGCTGACTGTTGGTGCCTCAGGCATCCAAATAAATCGTGTGAAAGGCAGTGATGGGGAAATGCTGTTGCTTTGCTCCTGCACAGTCATGACTTTGTGGTTTCCATCTCGCAGGTCAGGGTTGGTGATGACAACAGGGACTCAGGGGACAGTCACCGTTGCTCAGTTCTGCCGCAGATGCCCCTGAAGCCCCTGCAGTATCTGCCAGATGCTGAAGAGAAGCCAGCAGGGCACCAGGACAGGCATTTTCCTGCTGAGAGCCGGGGTGTCTCACCTCACCCAGCCCCTGGCTGCCGGTGGGACTCCCCAGAACTGTAAGGGAGCCCTAACCCATCGTGGCAGCATTCCCAAATCACCTGTGTGCTTGGTCCCTGCTGGTGCCAGGGGTTGGAACCAGATGATCTTGAAGCCCTTTCCAACCCAAACCATTCTGTGACTCTATGAAAGGGAGGGTGAGATGTCTGTGGGGCACAGACATGGGCTGCAGCTGGACTGGAGAGGAACCTCGTGCAGGAAAGCAGGGGGCTGCTGCCATCCCCCACCTCCCAGGGCTTCCCAGTCATGGGGAGAACCCAAGACCCATCTCCCCTGCATAGCCCCAGTGCTGCTGCCCCTCTGCCTGATGCTGGCAATGCAATGGCCAATGCAGCCCCTTGGCCTGGGATGGCCAGGTCATGTCTGCCCCACATGGGGTATCTGCTGCAGGCTGTAACCAGCCCCATGATGATTCCATTGCTGACAGTCACCCCTTCTCCCTGACCTGCCACCTCCAGCCACCCCACATCGCTGCAGTCCCCATGCCGCCAGCGCTGAGCCCCTGCCCCACGTGGCCATGCCCTCCCTCCTAGAGCATCTCCAGCCAGCAGCAAGGGGAAGGGAAAACCAGACAGCGCAGATACAGGGCAGAGATTTTAAAGCCTGTGCCAGTTCCAGCTCACCAGGCCAGGACGCAGGTACCCACGTTACCAGTTCGCAGCTCCTGGGCACCGGGGGGGTTCCCTGCTCTGCAGCTCCTCACACAAGTGCAGCAGCAGGACCAAGTGTTTGGGCTGCCCCTGGGCCGGCACTGCTAGAGACTGACATAACCGGAGGAGCTTTTCTGGCAGCACGTGAGTGCGAGCAGGCAGAAGGTGAGGACGAGCATGGTGGCCAACAGAACCGTGGCTGCTATCCAATTGCTTCTCTGGAGCCCTACGACCCTCTGGGGAATCTCCGAGGGAATCATGTTGGTGAGGTTGAGCATGTAGCCCAGAGTCCAGCCCACGTCTACACCAGTGACCTGTGCAGACAGACAAGGAAGAGGGATGGGAAAGGCTGCAAAGACAGAGTAGCCAAGGCAAAGGTAGGTGAGAAGGCCACCCCTGGGCATGGGCAACGGGCTGTGCTGCCCTGTCACCCGCTGCTCCTGTGCTGCAGCGCAGGGTGGGCATGAGCCCTTTCATGGCGTGGGCTGGGAGCTGGGAGCTGCCGGGCACATCCCTACCTGCCGGGCGAAGTGGATGTTCAGCCACGTCGTGTGGTTGAATCCGAAGCCCTGCAGGAGCAGGGTGAGCGCGTAGGTGCTCGCTGCACAAGCATCACGGAGCTGGATCCTGCTCATGCTGGGGAACTCCTGCTGCACCTGCAGGGGTGGAGCAGTGCTTGGAGCACCCACACTGCCAGGAAAGCCCCACAGTGCAGCCCGGAGCAAAGACCCGGCACGGCTGGGCCTGGGGAGCCGCGAGGCTGCTCTCCTGTCCCTCCTGGCCAGGGATCCTTGTGCTCCTCCCTGCTCTCTCCAGAGGATGCGCTCTGGATGAGCCCCAAGCTGCGCAGTGTCCAGGCACAGCAAGGGCAGGGGCTGCCATCCCCTGGGCAGGGTCTCACCTTCTCCCAGGTGCTGGTGCAGAACTGCCCGATGGTGGCATTGACCAAGCTCAGGGGCTGCCCTCCCGTCAGGTTCAGGAAGTGAAGGCTGTGGTAAAGCCCTGAGAAGGCCTGTGGGTGGTTAAAACCCAGGGTGTCAAGTTAGCAAAGCACCCAGGGCTCTGCCACAGCACCAGCCCTGGGCAGGCATCCCTGAGGCCACCCTCAGCCTGTCAAACCCACTGGGACTGCTCCCCACACCGAAAGAGATGGGTGCTGTGACAGCAGGGATGTGGGTCTGCCTGGTGAGGACCCTGCACATCTCCATGCATCAGGCACATCCAGCATCCCATTGCTCCTACAGCAGTTTTCCCGGGTCATGGCCAGCTTCTGGTGTCCCAAAACCCCACAACTCCCCCCAGAAACAGGGACGGAGGCTCCTTACAAAGAACTGTCCCCGCACGGGCGGCTGATAGACCCCGTTGAACCCACACGTGCTGTTGGCCCCACAGCTGAGGTTGAAGAGCTGCTGCACGGCGGCGCTGCACGCTGCTGGCTCCCCTGTCCCCATCACCCTGAGGAGCTGCGCGGCGCTGGGGCTGCTCGGAGCACGCACACAGGGGCTGTCGTAAAGCTCTGCCGTGGTGATGTTCTCCTGGTACCCCCTGGGGTAGCAGGGGTGTGAGAGCTGAGCAGCTGACGGGCTGGCCTGGAGAGAGCAGCAGCGTTAGCATCACCCTGGCCCTGAGGATGGAGATGGAAAGGAGAGAAGCAGCCCACAGAGAGCGCCTGTTCCCACAGCAGGACACCAGCATGCTGGCCCCACCACCCATGGGGTGCAGGTACAGAACTGGGGACAAACATGGCACAACCACACTGGTCAGGGGGCAGCTGCATGCTCAAGGCCTTGGGGGCGTGCACTCTGTGCTGAGCATGGACCCATTTTGTCCCCTCTCTCCTTTGTAGGATCAGCAGACCTCTGCTTGGGTGTTCACCTCCATCTCAGTACAGTCCTGTTCTTGGATGTTGGGACCCCCCCAGGGACTGCCTCCTGCCATGGTGACACTGTTGTATCCATCATCCTCACTGGGCTTGCACCAGCCCAGCAGCCATGACACCCAGTGGGTGCTGCCCACCAAGCTCCATAGATCAGGGTTCAGGCTGCAGGAGAGGAGCACAAGGCTGGGGTCAGTTACCTGGTGTAAGGAAGCCATCAGCATCTTCAGGGCTTGCTTTTGCCCGTAGCAGAGGTAGCTGTGGGTGTAGATGGAGTAGTTGGCCCCGTACAGCCTGAGGAGGGCTCCTGTGCTGCTGTCTTCTATGGGGGTCCCAGGAAGGAACGTGATCTGGGTTGAAGCCCCACCGAGGTCCAAAGCTCCAACCACATCCTCTGCAGGCGGGTGGGTCCATGTGCCTGTGAGGGAGCACTGCCCCGCACCGGGAGTCACGCACCGGGACCCGGCACGGGGGTACCAGCTTCCTGCACAGCCTGCAGAGGGGACAGCCCCCGAGCCCGCTGCCTGCCCGCACCTTGACGAGCGTCTCCAGCAGGAAGTTGACGCTGATCCAGCCGAAGGAGCCCTCCTCGTTCCCCGTCAGGACCTGAGCTCCGCGGAACTCCACCGGGTACTCGCCAATGGTCTTGGCCACCTCGGCAAAGACCTGCTGGGCCTTGGTGCTGTTCTGCTCCCTGCCCGGGGAAGGAGATGGACACCGCGAGTGGAGGAGGCGATGGCCGCGCAGCTCCAGCGCGGGGCTGACAGCGAGCGCCTGCGGCTGCTGCCAAGGAGCAGAGACGGGGCAAAGCCAGCAGATCCCTCCTGTGCTGCGCTGGGAGTGCCCCTAAAAATGCTGCCTGTGGGCTCGGCCTGAGAACACAGGAAGGGTCATGGCAAGTCTGGCAAAGGAGGTGCTGGCAGAGGAGGCCATGGAGATGCTGCGAGGGCTGGAGCAGCTCTGCTCTGGAGCCAGGCTGAGAGAGCTGGGCTGGGTCTGCCTCGAGAAGAGAAGGCTCCTGAAGGTGAGACCTTAGAGCAGCTCCAGTGCCTAAAGGGGCTGCAGGAAAGCTGGAGAGGGGCTTGGGACAAGGGCCTGGAGGGACAAGGGCTGTGGGGTTTCCCCATGGGCACAGTGAGCGGCTCTCTTGGACACCCCATAGGCCACAGATGTGGATGCTCTGCCCATCCCCGTGGGCTCCGGGACAGCTCCCCTGCTGCCCGCAGCCCCTTGTGCCCCCAGCCCCATCCTAGCCCCTGCCCAGGCTCCGGTGCAGGAGACGTGGTGGGAAGGGTGGAGGTGCCGGCTCCGCGCTGTGCTGTACCTCAGCAGCCGCATGCCCGCTGTGGCCCCCAGGTAGGTGGGGGTCTCCCGCTGCTGCTCTGCCGGGATGATCTCCATGGCCTTGTCCAGGCAGGGCTTCAGGCTGGCTCCGGCCCCGGCGGGGTCGTCTGCGTAGCTGGAGATGCCGGGTCCTGCAGGAGAGCCCCGTGTGATGGAGCCAGGTCAGTGACACACAGGAGGGATGGAACAGCAGGTACATGCACACCCCTTCACCAGGCCCAGGCTGCTCCCTGGAGCAACTTGGCAGATGTTCTGGTCACAGCCCCAAACTCTGTTGTGTTTGATGCCATAGAGATAGGAAAATGAACACCGCCGACCCAGGGGGGCGTTAGGAACCACGTATGGAAAAACAGCAGAACTGCAGTCACGTTTAGGGACTTCTGCAGAGCTTTTAGGAGGTCCCATGGGTATATATAGGGATAAGACAAGGGTGATTTAAGCTAACAGAGGGGAGACTGAGATGAGCTCTTAGGCAGAAGCTCTTCCCTGTGAGGGTGCTGAGGCGCTGGCACAGGGTGCCCAGAGAAGCTGTGGCTGCCCCATCCCTGGCAGTGTTCAAGGGCAGGTTGGACACAGGGGCTTGGAGCAAGCTGCTCTAGCGGAAGGGGTCCCTGCCCGTGGCAGGGGTTGGAACTGGGTGAGTTTTAAGGTCTCTTCCAACCCAAACCACTCTGTGATTCCAGCTTACGGAAGAAGCTGTGAAGAGTTGTGTGGGAAGAAGATCCAAGGAAGCAGTTATACGAGAGAGGAGCAACCTCTGCCCATCCGGCATCCCAGGCTGTGAGTTGATGCAACCATGTGCAAGGCAGAACTTGGCTCCAGGAACCCACCTTTGCATCCCGCAGTTACTGTGGCACCCTGAGGTGCAGACCGTCCCCTCAACACTTTTCTTTGGTGCTCCCACCAGGCCACCTCCCTTTTTCCCAGCACAGGCTGAAAGACTGAGCTCACCCGTGATGCTGTGAGTCTGGGACAGTGATCCAGGAGCGTGGGACAGAGGGACAGCACATCCCGGCACTCACCGGCTGCAGTGCAGGCCTCCACCTGGGACACGATGCCGGTGCCGTTCTCCTTGTCCGCAGGCCACCGGTAGATGTAGAGAGCCGTGTGCGTGGAGCCGGCGTCAAACACCAGCCCGTACTGGGGGCAGAGGGGGACACGGGTCACAGCACGCTCGGGCTGAACCGAGTCCCTCGGGGGGTTCTGAGGCTGCTGCTCTTTGCTCTCTATGTGCGCACATGAGCAGCACAGGTCTGCGTGCCCAACCTCCCTCCAGCTCCGAGCGCCCTGATTTTGCCAAAGGAGCTGCAGCTCAGGAAGGAAAGACGTGCAGGTCAGCAGGGTGATCTGCAGGGCAGGAAGGCAGCCAGGCACCCGTCCCAGAGCTGCTCCCACCCCTGTGGGAACAGAAACTCTCACAAGCCCTGACTGCTTTTAACAATCAGGCAGCAGAAAGCGACAGGAGAGATGAAACCCCACCAGGTGACCAGGGTGGCTGAGAAGAGGAAAGGAAGTGTTTGGGGTGCGGATGGAGCAGCTCTTCTCCCATCCTTAGCAAGGAGCCGGGACCATGCCTGAGGGGGTGATTGATGTACCTCCATCAGGTGAAGCCCTGGTAGGGGTGGCTGGGGGAAGATTTGCAGGCGGGGCGGAGGGCAGAGCTGGTGGAGGGGCGAGAGGTGGGAAGGAGCCGGAGGTTCCACCGGGCACCTACTTTGCTCCTGGCAGGAAGGGCAGCGTCCTTCGCCGGGGTCAGGAGCAGGAGGAAGGCGGCCACCGCCAGCGCCCCCAGCGCAGCCACCGAGCCGCAGCCCAGCGCCCTGAGCGCGGGGCTCTGCATCCCGCAGCCGGGACGGCCTCTGCCAGGGCAGCCCCAGCCCCTCCCTGCTCCCCTGGTGCCAGCGGCGCCCCGGGACACGGCGGGAGCGGGACCGCGACCCTGCCCCGGGGTCCTCAGCGGAGCAACGCCGGGGGCAGCGGCTGAGCGCGGGAGGAGCTGCCCGGGCCCAAGGGGGAACGGCCGGGTCCCGGCGCTGCCTGCACTGCCTGCGCTGCCTGCCCCTGCCTTCCCCTGCCTTCCCCTGCCTTCCCCTGCCTGCGCTGCCTGTACCCGGCCCGGGGCAATGCAAAGCGAAAGTGCGGCCTGAACCGACGCCGCGTGTCCGGGTTCCCTCCCGGGACGGCCCGCGGCAAGGGCGGGGCAACCCCGCGGCCTGCCCGCACCGCTTCCTGCACCCTGCCTCTACCTCTGCCCGCACCCCTGCCTGTTCCGCTGCCTGTGCCCTGCCTGCACCACCCCAGGGTGATGGGACGCTGACAACGGGGACTCATCCCTGGTCATGGGGATGGGTCTCTGGCTGTGGGGCACCCTGGCCATGGGGATGGTTCCTCACCTGCCGGGTCACTGTCTTGGGCCGCTGTCCCTGCCTGCACTGGGGCAGCACTAGGTGACAGCAGGGTGTGGGTGACCAACTGGGTCCATGCTCCATGGGGCTGTGTGCTTCTGCAGCAGGTCTGGGGCAGGGATGGCTGAGGGTCTCTCTGACCTAAGCCGCTGCCTTCACCCCAGGGCCAGGCCACCCACAGGCTCCCCGAGGGGCAGGGATGCAGGCTCAGCTCAGCCTGAGCTTCCCAGGGAGCTGCCCCACAGCATGGCCGGCACCCCATGGGTGGACGTGTCCAGCAGGCAAGTGGTTAACACCGGACGCAATTCCCATTCCACCCTGGCTCTCCAGCCCTGCTGCCTCCTGGACAAGGCTCTCCTGGGCAGGTTGCTGGTCCCAAGCCAAGGGGAGGGCCGTAGCGGGGACCGGGGCAGCCTTTGTCCCAGGAGCGGGCTCCACACTCCAAGTACACGGTGACACGGGAGGGCGGCGGAGCCGGGAGCAGCCAGGGTGAGCCTGGGCAGGGAAGGGGCTTGGGGGGCCCTAGATGGAGCTTGGCTCGGAGGGGGTGGTGGGTCAGCACTGGAGCCCGTGCTGGAGACAGACATGCTCAGTGGGCTGCAGGTGCAGGAAGCAGCAGGCTGGGGGGCACGGGGGTTACATGGACAGGGCATGGAGGGCACTGCTGTGCCCCAGCACTGGTGGGAGAGATAGGAGGCAGGGACCGCTCTGCCTGGCATGGATGCTCACAGCGCTCACCCACACCCTCGTTCTTACACTCTAAAGAGCCCCTTTGACTTACACATCCCACATGCACAGGGTGGGAGCTCAGCCCCGTTGTCCCGAGCACCGGCAGCGCCTCCGAGCCTGCCCTCCTGCGCCAGGGGCGCTGCAGGTGGGGGATGTCCCGCGGTGCTTTCGGAGCACTTGTGGTGCCAGCTCACACGGACAAGGGCAGGCACAGCCCAGGCTGGGCACAGCTGGGAACCTTCCCCACGGGCACTGCTCCCTGTGGGCTGTGCAGCCCCTTCTGCAGCTCTGGAGGCATCACCATCACCTCCCGTCCCTGCAGCATGTGGATTCAGCACCGGCCAGCCCCGAGGTGCCACAGAAAGCCTGGGCAGATGGATCAGCTTCTCACATGCTTCTTGCCTTGTTTTCCACCACTTGGGCTCCCTCCCCATGGCCTGCTGCCCTCCCCGGCTCTGTACTGCCTTTGGATGCTGGCTCCTGCCCAGTCCAGATGGAGTTTAGTCCCTATCAGAGCAGGTGGAGCCCATTTCCCACCTGCTCCCATGTGCAGGATGTGCAATTTATCTCCATTTCACATCATTCCGTTGCACAGTGCCTGGGACAGGGTTTTCCAGGATGTGGGCTGGGCTGGGCTTTATTGTGTTACCCGGAGCAGGGAAATCCCATCCCCATGACACAGCTGTATCTAGGCAAACTCTAGGCTGATAGGACTGGAGACATGGCAATATAGGGATTCATCAGCTGCTTCCATATGTTCTCTTCTGGCCATAGCCACCACACAGGGCAGGGCTCCCTGATAAGGGTTTCCTGTCGTCCTGTGTCCCCATGACGTGGGCCAGAAGAACAGATCCATCATTACACATCTCATGTCATGCAGGGTATCGGTCACCCTTGTTCGTCACTGGAGATGCTGACACTGAACCAGGAATCAGCGTCTCCTCTGACCTTGCCAAAGGTCACCTCTGGTTCCAGCCACTGACCTGCCAAAAGGGCAAGGGAATTTCTCTGTGGTTCTATGAACTCACAGGAGAATTGTGCAGCCAAGGGACAGCCCCCAGGTGCCACCCCAGAGCTCCGGGTGGTTCAACCGCCTCTCTAGGCTGTGTCCAGGCTCTCGGGACATCCACTGCTCAGCCCAAGGCTGTGGAGGAAGCCAGCCCATGGTGGCATGGGGCAGGGTGCTGAGGAAAGCACATCTGGACCAGCTGGGGTGCTGCTGTGTGCTGAGGCCATTGCAGAGAACCAGATCCTTTGGCTTTGCTTCTCTGCTGCAATTTCTTCCCAATGCCTTAGGCTGACCCTGCTGGGAGCTGAGCTCCAGCCAGACAAGCAGGAGGTGCAGAACCCCCTCCCATCTCTAGGGCTCCTCTGCACCCACTGGCTGGGCTGCCCGTGTGATGCTGTCACTGTTGGTATCCCAGCTTGGCTGCAGGGCTGTGTGTGACCCAGTCCGCAGGAGCCTCCCGCCTCTGCCCTTCTGCCTGCCCTTGGTGCTGCAGGAGAGGCTTGGGGGTCACCTGCAGGCAAGGGCATGTCCCTGTGTGTATGCTTACCTGCTGTGGCATCACCCGGAGCAGAGGTGAGGAAGACGGGGCTCTAGATGCTGTTCCCCTGCCTGGAGCAGAGAGGACCGGGAGCAGGGACAGTCTGGGCCTGTTGGGCAACAGATGTTGCCTGCTGGTCCCAGATCTTGTGGGACGGGTTCTGTGAGGATGCAGGGGATGACGAAGGGATGTGGCTCTGCATCCAGGAGGGGATGGCCACAGTGGGAAGCTGCCAGGGCAGGGTCCTGCTCCTAATGCTTCCCCCAGCCTTGCAGTTGGAGCAGGGCAGAGGGATGGGGACTGTGTGCAGAGAGGAGCCCAAAGGGCTGCAGCTGAGGCAGTAAAGCCAGGCTGCAAATTCCACAGGGAGGGAGTGCTCAGCAGAGCAGGGTGTCCCTGCCTGAGACTGCCAAAAGAGCAGCCATGCCCTAGAGAATGGCTTCAGGCCTTGCTAGGGAACGGGAAAGTCCCATATCCATATGTGGGATTTGCATTTCCCATAACCATATATGAGATTTGTATTTTAAAACTGGCTTTGCAAGTGCAGAGGTGGGAGCATGTTGTTGGGGCTGTTCTTGCAGGTTGGAGGAGGAATGGACCACAAAGCCAAGGTCCTTGCAGGTCTCCTGGCAGCCACTTGTGTCTTCAGCTTCATTGCCCTCATTCTGAGCATCGTGAATGTGAAGGATGTGATTCTGCCTCCCAGCACCAAGGTAGGGTCCTTGGGAGGAGCTGCCTGCTCTCACGTGGGTGCTGGCTGCCCCCTGGTAGAGGATTTTCCCTGGGTTTCAGGCAGGCTTGAGCCCAGAAAGCTCCGAGGGCTGGAGCAGCTCTGCTCTGGAGCCAGGCTGACAGAGCTGGGCTGGGGCAGCCTGGAGAAGAGAAGGCTCCTGAAGGGGAGACCTGAGAGCAGCTCCAGTGCCTCAAGGGGCTGCAGGAAACCTGGAAAGGGGCTTGGGACAAGGGCCTGGAGGGACAGGCCAAGGGGAATGGCTTTAACCTGCCAGAGGGGAGACTGAGATGAGCTCTTAGGCAGAAGCTCTTCCCTGTGAGGGTGCTGAGGCGCTGGCACAGGGTGCCCAGAGAAGCTGTGGCTGCCCCATCCCTGGCAGTGTTCAAGGCCAGGTTGGACACAGGGGCTTGGAGCAAGCTGCTCTAGTGGAAGGTGTCCCTGCCCGTGGCAGGGGTTGGGGTTGGATGAGCTTTGAGGTCCCTTCCAGCACAAACCAGGCTGGGAGTCTATGGGGACAAGCTCCTGCACAGGCTGCCCTGTGTCTGGCAGAGTTCTGTCACTGCCTGACCCTAGAGCACATTCAGCCTCTTCACTGGAGCTCAAAGGGCTTGTGGTGGATCCTTGTCCTCAGCACAGTGAGTGCAGTACCACAGGGCTCTCCCTCTTCTGGTGCCACTCTTGACCATCTGAGGTTCCCCTGCTCCAGGAGCTCTGCTGGCGGCACCCCCTGACAGTCCCTGTCCCCTCTGCCCCCAGTACGGGCTGGTGTTTGACGCCGGCTCCACGCACACGGCTCTCTACATCTACCGGTGGCCTGCGGACAAGGAGAACGGCACCGGCATCGTGTCCCAGGTGGAGGCCTGCACTGCAGCCGGTGAGTGCCGGGATGTGCTGTCCCTCTCCCTGCCCCTGCTCCGCGCAGGGACCCTTCAGCAGGGCGCCTGCCCTGCAGCACCAGGCGGGGTTGGCTGGTTCGTGCTGGGTGAGGTGAATGGTGAATACCCCAAGGGCAGTTATTCATCTACTGGGTATTTAGAAATACCCAAAGGCCCATCTATTCCTCTTGCAAAGGTGCTCTCAGACTGGTATTTCTGGAGGGAAGGACCAGGCTCCCGAGGGAGGTAGGGTCAGCTAAATGGTACATGGAGCTGTGCTGGCACTGGCAAAAGCCACCAGGCAAGGGCAGAGGTGCCAGGGCAGGGGCTGGGAGGGCTCCGAGCTCACCTTAACCTCACACCCAGGCAGGTCAGTTACTGGTTAACTGAGGGGGTCCGTCAGAGAGCAAAGTGTAATGGAGATGGGCTAATAGCACTAATGGTGTGCAGAGCTGGGGGAAGGTAAATAGTGGTATTGACACCCCAGAGCCTGTCCCTGCTCTCCACAGGACCACGCTGGGTGTTCAGATCTGCTGCCAGCTTCCAAAAATAGGAACTCAAACAAGCTGTGAGAGGGTACCTCTGCATGTGCATACACTCCACACACAGCAGGACAAGGGAGAGCCTGCCCCTTCCCAAAGAAATAGGGAAGTGCTGTGTTTGCTGAACGAGTCCTGCAGGAATGCCAGGCTGTGTCAGGCAGTTCCACCTACCTGCATTAAACAAGAGCTCGGCATCACAAGGCACACTGCTGCCCTTCCACTGTGTGCGGAGCAGGAGCTGCCTGTGGCTGTGGCACACGTGCTGCCTCCAGGCAGGTCGGCTCTGAGCACTGCCCAGCCAGGACACCCATGCAAGGGCATGAAGAGACTGGGACTGCAGGGACAAACCCCTGGGGGCTTCATGCATTGACAGTCCTGCACTATCCCATCCCTCCTGTGTGTCACTGACCTGGCTCCATCACACGGGGCTCTCCTGCAGGACCCGGCATCTCCAGCTACGCAGACGACCCCGCCGGGGCCGGAGCCAGCCTGAAGCCCTGCCTGGACAAGGCCATGGAGATCATCCCGGCAGAGCAGCAGCGGGAGACCCCCACCTACCTGGGGGCCACAGCGGGCATGCGGCTGCTGAGGTACAGCACAGCGCGGAGCCGGCACCTCCACCCTTCCCACCACGTCTCCTGCACCGGAGCCTGGGCAGGGGCTGGGATGGGGCTGGGGGCACAAGGGGCTGCGGGCAGCAGGGGAGCTGTCCCGGAGCCCATGGGGATGGGCAGAGCATCCACATCTGTGGCCTATGGGGTGTCCAAGAGAGACGCTCACTGTGGCCATGGGGAAACCCCACAGCCCTTGTCCCTCCAGGCCCTTGTCCCAAGCCCCTCTCCAGCTTTCCTGCAGCCCCTTCAGGCACTGGAGCTGCTCTAAGGTCTCACCTTCAGGAGCCTTCTCTTCTCCAGGCTGACCCAGCCCAGCTCTCTCAGCCTGGCTCCAGAGCAGAGCTGCTCCAGCCCTCGCAGCATCTCCATGGCCTCCTCTGCCAGCACCTCCTTTGCCAGACTTGCCATGACCCTTCCTGTGTTCTCAGGCCGAGCCCACAGGCAGCATTTTTAGGGGCACTCCCAGCGCAGCACAGGAGGGATCTGCTGGCTTTGCCCCGTCTCTGCTCCTTGGCAGCAGCCGCAGGCGCTCGCTGTCAGCCCCGTGCTGGAGCTGTGCGGCCATCGCCTCCTCCACTCGCGGTGTCCATCTCCTTCCCCGGGCAGGGAGCAGAACAGCACCAAGGCCCAGCAGGTCTTTGCCGAGGTGGCCAAGACCATTGGCGAGTACCCGGTGGAGTTCCGCGGAGCTCAGGTCCTGACGGGGAACGAGGAGGGCTCCTTCGGCTGGATCAGCGTCAACTTCCTGCTGGAGACGCTCGTCAAGGTGCGGGCAGGCAGCGGGCTCGGGGTGAGCAGTGACATCCCTGTGTGCGCCCCAGCCAGGTTTCTGTATTCCCAGACACGAGGAATACGTAGGTGCAGGGTGCTTGTCACAGGTACATGTAGCCTGTGCTTGTGAGCTGCATGTGATTAACGCAATCAAGGGTCTCTGTGTCCCTTTGCCTGGCCCTGTGCTCTCTACCTACACATGGATCAGGTTTGGTATCGCAGGGATACAGTAGCTCCAGACCCCAGATCAAAGCGTTACTCTTTACCTCCTCAAAGTCTCTGTATTCCAGCTGATGTGCAGCAACCAAGGGAACAGACCTCAGCCACTGCTACACAGACATCTCTGTGGGTTGAGGAGGGTGTAGGCAGGAAGGGCTTAAACAGGGAGACAGGACATGGAAGGTCCCTCAGGGACTTCTGAGCCCACAAAGCATGGAGGAAAGGGACAGGGACCGTGACTGCAGCTCAGACTAACACTTGCTGTCTTGTCGGGCCAGTATTCCTTTGCAGAGAAATGGGAACATCCGCAGGATGCTGAGGTTCTCGGAGCTCTGGACCTTGGAGGTGCCTCAACACAAATAACCTTCCAGCCTGGAGTCACCATTGAGGACAAGAACACCTCTGTCTTCTTCAGGCTGTATGGCACCAACTATTCGCTCTACACCCACAGCTACCTCTGCTATGGGCAGACACAGGCCTTGAAGAGGCTGCTGGCAGCTCTCCACCAGGTACCGCAGGCTGGAGCTGGTGGCCAGGAGCTGCTCAAGCACTTCCCTTTGCCATCAACGTCTTCCAGAAATTTTGGGCATTCCAGTTGAAAAAGTGTTAAGGAATTGGGAATTCAAAAACCTTGGAGAAGCTTAGATTTTCTCTGCTGAACCAAAACGCTCTCTCATTTGGATGGGAAGTGGTGGTGGTTCCCTGCCAGGTTCCTTCTCCCCAGATGTTGACATGTAATAGCACCTTCCATCATTTCCCAAGCCCAGCTGGACCCTCAAGCTCTTTCCTGTCCCTGTTCACTCGCCCTTCCTTAGTTTCTGCCCCCAGAGAAGATTCCCAGCATACACAGCTCCACCACTGGCCCGTGTCCTCCTGCCTCACCTCAGACAGAGCACACAGCCCAGTGCAGCGGGAGGCAGAGATGCTCAAGGAGCACGCAGGTGGGATGTACCTTTGGTCCTTCCTGTGCTAGGACCAGTGTGGGGACAGAGTGAATATCAGAGCAGCTGATATTCATCCCAATCCCATGGGATGCACAGGCTGGTAGGGGCATCACCACCCAGAACAGCTCAGTGGGGCCGACAAAATCATGCAAAGGATGGCTCCTATTTCTCAAATCATCCTAGGGTCTAGATTCTGCTCCAAAAAAGCAGGATCCAGTCCCTGTCTAAGTACAGCATGGGCTGTGGGTCAGACCTCACTGGCACCCCACACCAAGCCCCACTAATGGCTCGCACTCTCTCCAGGCCAGCCCGTCCGCTGCTCAGCTCTCACACCCCTGCTACCCCAGGGGGTACCAGGAGAACATCACCACGGCAGAGCTCTACGACAGCCCCTGTGTGCGTGCCCCGAGCAGCCCCAGCGCCGCGCAGCTCCTCAGGGTGATGGGGACAGGGGAGCCAGCAGCGTGCAGCACCGCCGTGCAGCAGCTCTTCAACCTCAGCTGTGGGGCCAACAGCACGTGTGGGTTCAACGGGGTCTATCAGCCGCCCGTGCGGGGACAGTTCTTTGTAAGGAGCCTCCGTCCCTGGGGCTGTGGTCGGGGAATAGGGCTGGGTGGGATTCTCCTCTGCCACTGGCTGTGGGGAGAGAGGCAACTCCAGGGCTGATCCCATCTGCAACCTCTTCTGTGCTGGGAGGTGGCTTCTGCTTTGTGCGATGCCCCAGCCCCCCCCAAGGGAAAATCCTGTCCCAGGGAGTGAATCTGAGCTGGCTCAGAGTGTGAGCAGCAGCACCAGGGCTTCTCAACCCGCTCCAAGGTTTCTGGTAGAATCAAGGGGGTGCTGGATGCAGAATCCTGGGAATTATGTGGGACTCTGTCCCCAAGCAAGAGGGGACCCTGGGTCTTTTTGGGGGGTGAGGAAGGAGGTGTAGTTCTTACCACCTCCCTGTATCCCCCAGGCCTTTGCTGGATTCTACTACACCTTCCATTTCCTGAACCTGACCAGCCAGCAGTCTCTAAAGGACGTCAACTCCACAGTCCAGGCCTTCTGCAAGAAGGACTGGGCAGAGGTGAGAGCCCTGAGGGGCAGAAAGGAGCCCTGTGCTTGTCATGTCCCAACTCTCATCCCAAGAAGGCAATGTCCTCCTGTCCCGTGGGCTAGGCAGGGCTCCCGAGCATCTCATTCCCTGTTGCACTGTGTCCTCTGATGGCCCCACAGCTGGTGGAGACCTTCCCGCAGCAGAAGGGGTATCTACACAAGTACTGCTCCACGGCCATTTACATCTTGACACTGCTGCTTGATGGCTACAAGTTCAGTGAGCACACGTGGAGCAGCATCCACTTCAGGCAGCAGGTAAGGACCCTGTGGGCTCTGCATCCTTGACCTGGCCCCAGCACATGTCCAGGAGCAGCATCCCTGGAGTCCCCTGCACCAGAAATGTTTCCCCTTCGCATCCTGCTGCCCAGTGACCCCAGCCCAGCTTCACTCTTCCTTCCCTGTCCCAAACCTCTGACACCAGCTTGTTCTCTCCCACTCTGGTGTGAACATAACAAGCTGATTTTAAGTGCATTGGAGAAGTGCACAGGAGGATCTGGCTACATTGGTGTCTGATGTGAGGCAGGATTGACTTGAGCATCAGAGAGCTGATGGGGGCCCCAGGACCCATTTGAACCAGAACAGGACCAAATTTGAAGGATAATGGGGGAGGAGGAAAGCTCAGATCCAAAATCATGGTCACAGCGGCAGATCTGGACCAGAGCACCCATTATCAGAATCCCAGACTAGTCTGGGTTGGAAGGGATCTTTAAGCTCATCCAGTTCCAACCCTGCCATGGGCAGGGACACCTTCCACTAGAGCAGCTTGCTCCAAGCCCGTGTCCAACCTGGCCTTGTTCATCCACATTCATCTGCCCTTCAGCCTTTGGGAAGGGGGGAAAGGAAAGCTCTCTGTGTATTTGGGGCTGCTAAGATCAGGTTCACCACAGCCAGGTCCCTGTGTGAAATCACAGCTGGGGCAGCTCATGGGAGAGCTCCTTGGACCAAAGCTGGGAGAAGTACTTTTGAATGACCTCTGCTCCCTCACCTCAGGCAGCAAACACGGACATCGGGTGGACGCTGGGCTTCATGCTGAACCTCACCAACATGATCCCCACGGAGGCTCTGGGACACATCAAGGGCCAGCAGCCCAGTCTGTGGGCAGGTGCTGTCTCCTGCATCATGCTGGCCATCGTGGCAGGCCTGGTGGCCGGCTTCCTCCAGTGTTTCTGCAAAAGCAAGTAGCTCCCAGCCTCCTGACCAGAGACATCCTGCCTACCAACCTGGGAGGGATGTGCTGCAAAAGAAGGTGGGAGAAGAATGAGGGCATTAGACCCATCTCCATTGCTCAGGAGGTCTAATTGGGCCATCTCTATGAAGATGCTGAAGATGACAAAGGTGTCTTGAGCTCTCTGAGTACCTCCAAGAGGAAGACCAATCTGGCTGATAAAAGCTGACAGACTTGGCAGCTGGATGAAGCCAGATCAACCCAAACTAGAAATAAAACCCATTTTGTTTTTCACATAGGAAAGTCCCCGACCAGCCTCGCATGGCTTCCTGCTGGGCTGCAATCCCAACAGCCACAGGAGGCAACTGGTGATGGAGAGCAGTGGTGGCCACCTAAGCTCTGAGGAGAGACCTTACCTGTATCTTGCCCTGTGAAAGACTGCTGTAGTATGTGACAGTATCTACCCAAAGACACTGTCAGGTGTCTTTAAAACTATTTACTGCCATAGCAGCAGAAAAATGCAAGTGGAGGTTGACTGAAGAGCTGCCAACTGTGGCTCAGGGTTTATTGGATATTCCAGTTACACAGCTCAGCTCTCTCAGACACCAAATCCCTAACGGGTTCCAGCTCCAGGCGATTAAGTGGTTCATCCAGCTCAGAAGAGCCCAGCACAGCTCGGGGCAGGAATCGGATGGTCACGTCATTCCTCCCAGCTCCAGCTCAGCACCCCCCTGCCCAGCCCCTCCAAAGGGCTGCTCTGAGCAGGGGTGCTCCCCAGCCACCTCTCCTCTGCACTGTAAGATCTCTTCTGCCCATGCAGCATGAAGGAACGTCCAGGCAGGATTTAAGGGCTGGAGGAAAGTATCAAAAGCATCTGGACTGAGGAATGGTCAGAGCCCTTTGGCTCTGGCAGATCTGCAGGGTATTTGCTGTGGAAGATGATACATGGTGGTCCTAACCCAAGCTGTTATCCCATTCACCCCACTGGAAACAGGTTAGAAAAGCCATTTGAAAGAGCAGCATTTCTGTGTGGTGGAGATAAGGACATGTGAGCCAAGGGCCTGGGGACCAGGGCTCTGCCTCCTGCTCACAGTCTTTGGCTTCACTAGGGTGAGGCTCAGCCCTCCAGCCTGAACTTGAGCAACATGGAGAGGGGGTAAAGACCTCCATCCACAGGAACCTCTTCCCACCTGGAAGGTCTGAGCCAGCGGCGCTTGGACATTTTCCATAACCAAACATCAGATCCCTCTCCCTTCTCTCTGCCCTGCACAGGCACATCTTTGGCAGTGTAAGCACAGAAGTAAAAATGCCAGGTCTGGGAACAGGCTGTAGAAGATGCTGTTGGACTGCTAGAGCTGACCTCATGGGATCTGTGAGTGAGGGACATCTCCTGTCCAGGTTCAGCAGAACTCCTGGCTGTGGCTGAATAAACTGGGACTGGGGCCTCCCACCCCTGGGAGACAGTGCAGTCGGGCAGTAAAAGGCTCCTATTTGCTATAGGAAGGCAGCACCACAACTGGTCTGGGTTGCAAAGCATTTGGGGAAGATGCCAGTCTTGCCATTGCAGTGTCCTTCCAGCCAGTCCTCATTCACTGGGAAAACATAAAGGAGCAGCATAAGCCCTGAGGCAGCACTGGAGAGGCATCTACTCCCCAGGCACCTGCAGCAGACTCAAAGCCTGCTCCAGCACAAGCCTGCAGACAGGACTGCAGAGCTACCTTCAGAGAGAACATCCAGCACATCTCCCTTGCTGAAGTCCAGGTCCCCTGGTCCCTGTGCAGGGTAGGAGTGCTGAGCCAGCATCCGGTAGAGGATGGGTCTGCCCGAGTGGGACTCTGAGTCCTACAGGAGAGTCAGCATGAAGGTTGCAAGGCAAAGCAGAGATGTGAGCCCAGCACAGCAGAGGAGGTGGTCACAGCCCACGTACCTGGCAACACAGCACCAGCCTGCCATCCGTCAGCTGCTGCCACATCCTCCCTAGATCCTCCTCTCCCGAAACTGCTCCCAGTTCCTTGCCATCCAAATTCTTGTAGCTGCAAGAGTTCATTAACATGGCTCAAATCTCACTTAAAGCCTAGCTCTGAGGCCAGCCTAGTCCTCTACCATCTTCAGTCTTTGAAGTCCCCCTTGTAAGCCAGCTTTAACCTTTGCACATGGATGTGGGGCCTACCTACATGTTCAGTGGGCAGAAAGGGAGACACCCTCAGCTCCTCACACATTTACTTGAGGGGAAGATCCTAAACTCTCCTGACTACACTGTGTGTCCCCAGGGGTATCACATCAGGGAACTGTCACCTCAGGACCAATGCACACTTACACCTGACTCCCAAATTGCTCTGCATTGATCCTAGTGTATCTCAAAGGCTGAGCTGAGCAATGGAGAAAATCCAATGTACAGCACCTGCATCTGCACAGAGTTCATGTTTCCCTGTTTCCTGACCATGGCAGTGCCCTGGGAAAGATCCTTCAGGCTTCCAAAGTCCATGAGCATATGATTTTCTCCTAACCACAAGCCACGGTAAGGTTGGCCCTGAAAGGAAGGCTGTGTGCTCAGCCTTCGCTGAATCTCTGCTGGTGTTTTGATCACAACACCCCAATTAAATGTTCCCAGGAGACTAGACAGAGTTGAATGCCTGTGTCTTAGAGTTACAGAATGGTTTGGGTTGGAAGGGACCTTAAAACTCATCCAGTTCCAACCCCTGCCACGGGCAGGGACACCTTCCACTAGAGCAGCTTGCTCCAAGCCCCTGTGTCCAACCTGCCCTTGAGCACTGCCAGGATGGGGCAGCCACAGCTTCTCTGGGAACCCTGTGCCAGTGCTTCAGCACCCTCACAGGGAAGAACTTCTGCCTTATACTCAACCTAAATCTCCCACTTCAGTTTAAACCCATTCCCCTTGGTCTGTCCCTACAGGCCCTTGTCCAAAGTCCCTCTCCAGCATCCCTGTAGCCCCCTCTGAGACACTGGAAGCTGCTCTGAGGTCTCCACACAGTTTCCCTTCTCCAGGGTGAACAGCCCCAGTGTTCTCAGCCTATCTTCATACGGCCCTTATACCCTTAGGGGGGTGGCTGCTGCACCCTGTCACCCACCTGAGCCTCCCTCGCTGCGCCTGCTGCCCCAGGCACTCCCGCAGCAGTGCCCGCAGGTCCTGCAGCGCCGGAGCTGTGCCTGCCCTCAGCATCATTGTGCACTCGCAGCACACCCGCAGCACCATGGGCCTGGCATTGCCGGGGGGAGCGTCCCCACAGGTCACTGGGATCTGCTGAGAGAGGTGGCATCGTGCACAGGGGGGTTACTCAGACTATGTCACCTCTCCTATCAACAGAGGCGACATCGACACAACCCCTCATCTCAGTGCTACCATGTAATGGTAGTGTAGCATCAGAGGGGCAGCTATGGATCCAAAGCTTGGGATCAACTGTTCCTCCCATGACCCAGGAAGCCTGTTTCTGGGTCTCATCACACAGGTACCTCCCAACCTCAAGTCCAGCTGAGCAGGGCTCCAATTCCTCTAGCCAGCTGGAGAGGTGCAGCCAGTTCCCATGTTGTGCTGCCTCCTGTCTGAAGCTGAACAAAAAACTGCTCCAAAAGCCCTGCAAAGAGGGTGGCAGAGACAAAGCCAGCAGACCTCATCTGCAGCTGGCACTGCCAGAGGTGCTGTCCCCAAGTGGATACAGGAGCAATTCCAGCACCATCATACACTGTGGTTGGTAATGACATGGAAGTGCATTAGAGAACAACATCCCAGAACACAAATAAATGAATTGTGGTACCCAGACTCTCAGGAGCAGAAAATTCTGCACAGGAGAAGGGAGAGAGGGCCAGCAGGTAGTTCAAAGACAACTCTCTTCCAAAATAGGCTGTGAAGTGTGTGCCTGAGGATGTTGCTGTGTCTGAGGCTCTTGGCTCCTTGGGGGGTGCCACAATGGCACTGCCCTGCTAAGCCTCAACCTTGGGCAGTCTGACAAAGTTGTATGGTCACAAACTTGGAAGTGGTGGAGGAATGAACCCATGGGAGCCTCTCTTTGGAACGGGAAAATGGGCAGAGGAAGAGGGTTTTTTTCAGGTGATTTTGGGCCAGCTCAGGAATTTTGGAGGATTTGGTCAGGAATCTGGCATTTTTCACAGCCTTGACCTCTTGAGGCTGTGCCAGCTTGTGGAACACCTTACCTTGGAGTCCATTTGAGCACCAGCACCATTTACAGGGGCATTTTCTCCCCCAGCAGATTCTGAAGAACAAAACAAGAGCAGAGGAACAGCACCCACAGTCAGCAGACTCCGCACCTCTTCTGCAACCCCCAGCACACAGGCAGACAGGGCTGCAGTGGGCAACCAGCCTCTCCATGCCCCCCAAAGCAGGGGTGGGCACAGCTCCAAGTCACACCCACTGAGGTCCCTGGCCTGGGGACTACCTGGCTTCTGCTTCATGTGGAGTCGGCTGGGAGGCACCTGGGCAGGAGGGAGAGGAATCCCATCGTTGATCTTCTGCAACAGAAAATCAGAAGAGTGAGCAGAAGGCACTGGAGACTGGTCGAGGCTGTTGTCCATGACAGAGGCTGCAGCCAGTTATAAATGTATGGGTGTAATCCCAGAGAGAGCTCCAGGGAGACCAGTTTATTAACTGGCTGGATGAGGTGGAGCACTCAGAATGGTCTCTGCAGCTCCTGTGGGTAGCAGGGGTGATGAGAGGCTTAGTGGGGCACTTCCTTGGCCTCTTGCTCCTTGCTGGGTTGGTGCTGGAGCAGAGGGAGGCTGCTCACACTGTGCTGAGGGTTCTCCTCACCATCTGCCAGCTCACCTGGGAACTTGGGCTGGTTCACAGTGAGACAGCCATGGAGCAAATGCCCAAGCATGGGCTATGACCAAAGATTCATCTGGGAGTGAAACTGTGAATCACAGCAACATCACAACAACTGTGAGCTTCCAAAAATCCCTAACGGGTCTGAGTTGCACCTTTCTGCACTGGTTTCAGATGGAAAATTATTTGGATCATGTGTGGACATGTCTGTGGTGGAGATGAGATGAAAACTTTCCCAAGTCAAAGGTGAAGGTTAGGGCTTAGTGCATGGCCCTAAGGCAAAAAGCAGTATCTCTAAGATGTTACTGCTCCACTGAAAGAGATTAACCTGCTCTCTGCTGCTGAACCAGAATGTGTGAGCCCTCCTCACCTGCTTCTGTGCTACACTGACTGGCTGCACAGACCATGGGAGCAGGCTGGATAAACAGAAGCCTTAAGCCCTCAAACTCATCCAGTGGCACAAGAAGTTACAGTGGTCAGGAGAGCCATGGCAGCT